GTGATACAGCACAAATTTAACAAAATTATTTTACAAATCGAGATTTCAATACTGTACTGTAAAACACAATGTGTATTATTGAACTGCGTCTATCTTTATAATTTTAAAATCAACTAAATATAAAGACAAGGGGTCAATATAAGACACTAGACAAGCACGTTGTCATTACACAGGAAAAAATGTGTGCACGATTTAAAGGCTAAGTATATTTACCGATTCATGCTAGAGATCACTCGACCAATGCACTATGTCAACTGGGTAGCCATGCACCGAGGGGGTCCAGTCAAGGGGCCATCAAGGATAGTTCAGCATGCATTTCCAAGAGTTGTAAAGTTGGAGCTTTAACTATTACCGGAAACGTGTGTAAATAAGCAGTGGCGGAAGTGCATGGAAATATTATGCATAGTGTGTTATCTTTAACATAGATAATAGGTTCCTGAAATAAAAATACAAGATACTTGACAACATACAAAAGTGTCTATAACACATACTTTTGATTATGTAGCTAAAGCAAAAGATGTATGTATACAATACCGTATTGATAGAATGGAAGACAAAAGACACTTGAGATCGGGAACTAAGCCAGAGAGCTCTGACAAATTGAAGCTCTTGCAAGGCAACTAATAAAGAAGCTTGGAGGTATTTATGCAAGGCCCACTATGCATTTTAAATTTTAACACAATACAATGTACAACAATTCCAGTTTGAACTGTTATTTATATTACGTATCATGATACCTGTACTGTACATGCAGTGAAAGATTCCATATATTAAAGAGTTTACTAAGGTCTGTTCCCTTACCTCACCCAAACTTGGAAAGAATGAATGGTCAGCTTGATAAAAATGTATTCAGACTGTTTCTCTGATTTCTATCAACAACCAACCGAGTTACGCAAGAAACTGTCACGGAATAGAGGTATGGAATTCACCTGTTTTTGTAGAGGTGAAGAGTAGTGACCCGCCACCAGGATTTACACTATTATTAGCTGCCGCCATTAAAACATATTCATGCACAGTATTGGATAAACTGAATGTTGGCAAAGGCTTCTCATTATTTAGAATGATCAAAAGCCTTCTATAAATTTTTGCACCTCATAGCTTAAAAATGAAGATGAAACTTTTATATAAAAAGTACATATTGTACTGTAATTATAATTTATTGTTAAAACAGCATGATCCAAAAAAACATAAATATTTATTATTTACAAGCTATATTCAATTCGGATAGAGAAAATGTTTGAAAAAAGTTTGAAATGTTCCAATTCACCCTTATGCTCATTAATAAAACATACTATTGCTCGTTCACAAAATATCCAGGTTATCAGGCACCTACAATCCACCTACCTGAAATGTGGTATACAATGCCTTGTAACATAAGCCCCGACAACAATCATGGAGTATACTTTGTTAAATGATATACACAAAGGTGGGCACCCGTTCCCCAAAAAGCACCAAAAGTCAATGGTCTCTATCACGGTCCTTTCGGAAGAGAGAAGCTGTGACAAACTCGGTACCTGGCATTTGCATTATATACAAGTGAAATATTTAACTGAAATTAAATATGCAATTGAAGATGCTGGAGATCATTAATATTTTAGTCAATTTAAGTTAAATTCCAAATAATACAATTACTGTACAGTACTACAAAATTAATATAGCAAAACTAGGAAAAATATAATAATACTGTAAGTTGAATGCTTGTATTTCCCTTCAAGAAGACTAGCATTTCAAAATGGCTGTCACTCCGCCCTGATTTCTTTGCTTTAATGATGTCTTACCCCACAGAGAAGGGTCTCTCTATGGTGATACTGAAAAAGTTAGGCGTATTGAACTTTATGAACCCTTCAATGCAGGGCTGGATAACAAGCCCTTGTTGATGACGACAACCCAAATCATAAAACGCTTAGATGACAATTTGCTGTAGAGAATGTAGACAACTGACCAATTTAAAATAACTATTTGGTGCATAATTTATTCCTATATCAATATATCAAACTGGAAATACAGAAATTTTACACTTGTAAAGAACAAATTTCAACAAGCAGTCCTTCTCTCGTTAAAAAAAAAAAAAAAAAAAAAAAAAAAACGAACTAAAGATCCTTGGACGATCCGGAATTGCTTTAAATATGGACTGTCGGCCTCCACTTTGGTCCTGCCTGGTAAAGGGATCGAGTTTCCCGGTCACGGTTCTCATAATGGATAGTTACAGGAATTTGGTCCTTTTGGAACTTGTTTCTGCCCACCTTTGGATATACTCTACACTTGTTATGTTTATCTTATTAAAATTTTCTAGGGATTATCTTGCATTCTCTAGCAGGTGCTAGAATCATGCATACGCTACTTGAGGGACTACCATTCTTAATAGCTTTACCATACTGATCAATGGGATTGCATTCATGTATTTGACATACTGACAGTGATTCTATCTTTGACATTCACAATTAAATTTTCACCTAAGGCACAAATGTCTATTGTACTTTTTATATCAAATTTATTTTCA